CCCCAGCTCCCATCCCTGGGTGTTGGTATGCCGGCTGCAGCCAGAGATAAGGGGGCAGCGACTGGGAGCGGGCCTCGCCTGGTCCAGCTTCATTCTGGAAGGATCCGCTGGCGAGCGTCACAACACCTGCCGCCTGTGGGTGCGCGGCCTCAGCGACGTGGCCGCGGGGAGGCCAGAGCCATACGTGGAAGGGCGGGTTGGGGGACGAGCTCGTAGGACGGGCTGGGAGAGGCGGGTTCTGACACCCCGCAGCCGTGGGACACTGTGGGTTCAGATGCAGAGACTCCGAAGCCTCCCACCGCCCACCACCCTCCCGGCCAGCTGGGAATGCAGCCCGGGCTGAGGCACCCTGGGCTCGACTTGATGCACCAGCTTCCTGCAGGGGATGGGCTGCGGACCACATCCAATTGCCGGCACATTGGATGGCATTGGGCCGCGAGGCCCTGCAAGGGAAGTGGAGTCAGAAAGTCCAGCCTCGTGGGGTGGGCGCCGTGCCCAGTGGACACCTCCAGGGACGTCACTGCACCTCTCATGGGACAGCCTGGGTTTTCAGTAGTTACTGTGTGATTGTTAAGAAATCCCATCATACTCCCTGAGCCTCGGTTTCCCCATCTATAAAATGGAAGGCACACTCCTGTTGGAATGGTCTTCCTGGGTCAGTGAGTCTGTGTCTGCCCTCCGCACGGCGTCCAGTGCGGGGCGAGCCTGCGGTTTCACTGGGCGCCCCGCCCCCCGGCCCTTCATGTTAGAGGGGCCCGCTCTTCAGATCCCGCCAGCAGCTGCGGTGAGCAGGGGTGGCTGGCCTGTCATCTCCCCGCCCCACGATGCTGTGCGCCCCCGGGGACAGGGCCGTTTTCTTCTCAGCTCACCCCCTAGCAGGGCCCTGACTCCCCACTTCACATGCAGAACCTCGAGCCACATTGTGGATTTTTCTTGAATGACGTGACCAGCCCTAGGAGTGCCCCGTGCCGCCCCAGTTCTCTTCCGCTGATCCCATGTCCCTCCGTGCATGAGACCCGGCCTCAGATCAAAGCCCGCCAGGGGTCCCGTGACTGGTCAGCACCCGGGAACCAGAACGGCCCCCGGGTGAGGCCGGCTCGGCCTCTGTTCCTCCTCATCACCCAGTCACATACGCCGTGCACGGCTGGGGTCCCGCCCAAGCTCTGGACCACTTCCGCTGTGAGACCATACCCGTCTGGCGGGAGACCCCGATGCCTCCGCACCCCCAGACGACTCCGCACAAGCCCCTCCCCTGGCTGGGCCTCGGTCTCCCCAAGTGTAAAGTGCAGGTGGAGGTTCTGACTGTCAGGACCGGCTACCGGGGTGTTCGGGAGGCTCTCCCAGCTGTCCCGGCAGAAGGGGAGCCGGACCTCGGCACCCAAGCAGCTCCAGCGACCTCTCGGCCCAGGGTGGGTCTAGCGAGGCCCAGGGAAAGATGAGGAGATAGTGATGGAGACATAGGTTTATGGGCGGGTGGGGGAGGCTGACCTGCAGGGAGTCCCAGAGCCGCCGGCGGGAAAGAGCTTCGGCTGCTGGCACCCGCGTGCGGCAAGTTTTTGTATCATAGCAACTTAACCTAGCAACCAGCAGCAGCTCTTCCCCCCTCGCCCGGCCAGCGTTTCCAGGGAGGTTGAGTCCCCCACCCCCCGCACCCACCTCCGGACACTCTTGTTACGGGGGAGAGGCTCTAGGTCAGCCCTTGACCTTGAACACCGAACGCACATCCTGTGGGATGGGAATGCACATTCTCGAGACAGTGAGGAAGGGGCCCCGGGGGCACCTGCACCCATAGCTGTTGGCCCGCGCCGCACAGAGGGGTCCACACGCAGCTGCGCCTTCCCCAAGGGGGAGGCCGCAGGGACCCCAGCCTCGCGCTCTTTTCCCTCACCTCTCTCATCTCACCCGGGTGTAACCAGCCCCTGTGACAGACCCGCATCAGCCAGCCCTTTTTCCAGATAAAGAAACCGCCTCTCTCGCACCTTACCCAAGGCCACACCCCTGCGGGTGGCTCAGCCACGCAGGTGGGCGCCACTTTTCACACCTGCCGTGGTCTTCCAAGCTGGCAGTGGGGTGGGGTGGGGGACGGGCTGGAGATAGGGGCTCATGTGCATGACAGGGAGGGGCGGGAGCTGAACATATGTCCCTGCCAACCAAATAATTATAGAGCCTGAAAATGGCTCAATTAAATTATTTTTTAAAAAGTGACTACGTACAAACACTCAGCGATTAAGCACCGATTTGCAAAGAGCGACCTGCCCACTGCACCTGCTTGTCCCCCTGCATCTCTGCCCACTTGCAGAGCCTGGTTTTTTATTTTTAATTCGAATAATGCAGATTGCAATGATCAGGCTCTGCATTCCCAGACGCACTTAAGGAGGACCTGGGGGTGGTAGGGTGCAGAGCACCGAGGAAGGGTCACCCCGGGGGAGGGCCTGGCATGGGGAGGGGGGTTGAGGGGTCACTGGGGCAGCTGAGGAAAGGGCACATGGGGGTGGAGCCATTGAGGGCCGGTGCTGGTGCTCAGACGTGATCACATCTAATCCCATTTCTGCTGGGACATTCTTGCTGCCCAGAGAGGGAAACCTCCTCATCTGAGGTCACACAGCCTCCAGCTCTGACACCAGAGCATCTCTATAGGAATCCAGCAAGCATGTATTGAGTGCTAGCCGTATGCCTGGGTGGATTCTTGGATGATCCTGGCGACCGCCGCTCTCACCGACTGCGTGATCCACGTCGACTTTGGGAGGAGGCCGCATTAGGTTCATGGTTGGTCAGAGGTCCTGGCTCCTGGGCACAGAGGCGAGCCATCTTCTGTTTCCCCGACACATCCGCGGTGATGAATTCCCTTCTCTTCCCCTGCCTACAGGGGGGTCTGCCGGGAGTCAGGCCCCGTGAGCAGTTGGAGAGGAGGGTCCGACGCGGGCCAGGTGCCGCTCAGGCTGTGTCTGGTGGCCCTGCGTCCAAGTTCCCCTCTCCTATGGCACCAGTCACTGGATCGGACCCGCCCTCCTCCAGTCTGACCTCATTGTAACTTGATTACATCTGCAGTGGACTTGTTTGCAGATAAGGTCACGTTCACAGATTCTCGGTGCACAGGATTTTGGGGGGAACAGGACTTTGCCGGCCACAAATGGCTTTCTCCCGGCCAGGCACAAAGCACTGTCTTCCTTCCTGCCTCTGCACGAACATCACCGTATCGGAGGCCCCTCTCAGACAGCCCACGGGCTGCGCGCTCCAGCCCTGCCCTGATCACACCTGCTGCTGTGTGATCCTATTTAGCGACCCCCCCTTGCCGCACCCCCCTCCCCTTGCCGCACCAGCTCCTCGCTCGGGCCCACACCAGCAGGTGCCCGGGAGTGAGCAGGGACCAGGGGCCCCATGACCTGGGCGGGAACGGGGAGGAGTCTGGAACTGGGGAAGCCCCTGGGCCGAGGCAGGTGCGGGTCAGGGATGGAGGGAAGGGGTGGCGAGGTATCCGGGAGGCAGAGCCAACGGGTGGGTTCTAGACCCAGCTTGCTGCTGGCGGTAGGAGGGCAGAGGGGTCCGACGGGCTCAGAGGTTTCCATGACTCGCACTTGGAAATAGCCTGGTTTCTGCGGAGACTGGGAGTTTCCTGGGTCTCTGGATCAGTCCTCTGCTAATGGGCCTCTGGCTCCCTCCTTCCCAAAGCAAATCAGTTCTCTGAGGTTTTGAGAGTAAGTACATCCCTAATCACCCCTGGGGGGGGGTAGGGCTTCTCTGTTCTCTCCAGCACGGCCTCCCTGGGGGAGGGGGCAAGGCATGAGGGGCCCAGCTGATCCCCTCCCAGCCGCCGCCCCTGGGAGCCAGGGGGCAGGCCTTGCTCTCTGCCCTGGTCTGGGAAGGACCTGGTGACCGACCATGAAGCCTGTGAGGGACCTGACCTCTGGGGACGTGTGGACAGGTGACCACTAGGCCCCAAGACAGTAAACACAGCCCATCTTCCCGGAGCCTCGGATTCGCTGGAAGATTTGGGAAGGAAATATACGCATGCAGAAACCACTAAAGGTGTACCGTGGAAGGGACCAGAAAGGCTCCCTTCCGGTGGGGCGGGGCTTATGCTGTCAGCCCTGGGCTGCACCCCGCCCTCCCCTCCGGGGCCCCGACAACACTGGGCAAGTCCCGGAAGCACCTGCCTCATCCAGCCCCCAGAGGGGAGGGGGCTGCTCAGAGCAGCACTGAGGCCGGGCTCCCCAGGCTGCTGGGTCCGGCAGACAAGCAGGCAGGCTACGGGGGGGGGAGGTTCTGTGGAGCAAATGGGGTGCCGGCTGGGGGGCGGCACGGGCAGCTCGCACATCCTGGGTCCACCACCTGTTAGCCGAGTGACTTCGGGCAGGACCTGACCCACCCGGAGCCTCCGCCTCGTCCTGAGAGACAGCTGCAAGAGAGCCCTAGTGACCTAGTCTTATTTTTTTTTAATAAGTTTAATCATTTATTTTGAGAGAGACAGAGATAGCGCAAGTGGGGGAGGGGCAGAGAGCGAGGGAGGGAGAGAGAGAATCTCTGACGGCACAGAGCCCGACGCAGACCTCGAAATCACGAATCGTGAGATACGACCTGAGCCGAAACCAAGAGTCGGACGCTTAACCGACTGAGCCCCCCAGGCGCCCCCACAGTGACCTAGTCTTCAAGGGTTTTCGAGGAATCAAAAAGACAGAAGGACACAGAGGTGCCTGGCACGCAAGGGGCCCGTGGCAAATAGTGACGCACACGTGTAGACTCAGGGTTGGGGCAAATCACTGGGGACTCCAAGGAGGAGGTGACCCTGGGGATGGGGGACACTGACGTATTTGCCAACTCCACACCCAGCTCCTGGACCCGAACGCGTGCTCGGCGAGCCCACGGGAGCCCCGTGGCCTCCCTGTCACTGGGGCACGCCGCTCCAAGGGACGCGTTGCCGTGAGGCGCTGTGCCGCGGGCTAGACGAATCTGCAGCGGGAGGGACACCTCGCTGACGCCTGTCTGTCATCCTGCCCCCCCAGGTCCTCGGACTTCGGGACGTCCTACACCAAACTCACCCTGCAGCCTGGCGTCACCACGGTCATCGACAACTTCTACATTTGCCCGACCAACAAGAGAAAGGTAGGACCCTCACGGGACGGGGGCCCACGCTGCGCAGCCGGGGTCCCGGCCACCGTGAGCCACGGGACCGCCGCTCACACGGACCCTTTCCGGTGCCGCCGTAATCCACGCGACAACTGCGTCTAACAGGCCAGCTGGGCCCTCGGCGACGGGCTGTGGGCGTGTGTGTGGGTGTGTCTTCTCCCTGCCCTGTAGACGCGCCCGGGGGCAGCGGGAAAGAATCTCTCTGTGGTTTGGGGTCGTCGGAGGGCAGTGGTGAGCAGTCCCCATCTTCTGTGGGTTTTTGTGTGTATCTGGTTTTGATTTGGCTTCGATCCATCATCTGAGATGCACCTTCCGGTTCTCTTGGGCTGAGCGTGTCTCCTGACTGCTCCCCCCCCCGCCCCCCCGCCTGGTGTGGAGCAGTGTTTCGAGGCCGCCGCCTGGATTCTGTGAGATCAGCCGTTTGCACGCCTGTGCCTGCTTCTTGGCCATGTTAGGAGCCTAGAACGAGGTCAGAGGAGGCACGGGGGGCAGAGAGGCCCTATGTGTGTCCGCTTCCGGAGAAGAGGGTGGGTGTCACTGAGAGGGACTTAGTCGGGCAGGTCGGGCTCCTCACAGGACAGGGGAATCGTGACGTCGGGGATTGGAACCCGTAGCCCGGTGGCTGTTCGGCCTGAGGCTGCCCACGGGCACTGACAGTGTTCTGGTGACTTTCAAGGAAAGGTCAGAACAGTGAGGAGTCCGGGAAATCCTGTCACCCGCCAGGAGGGTCCTCGGTGCCCGGGAAGGTGCCGGGGCCGGCCCCGCAGGCCGTGCCTGCCTTTGGAAACGAGACGAGCAGAAGCAGTGAGGGAGGGCCCGGAGCCGGGTTTCTGAAGCCGTGAGGCCGGGTGGGACAGCGGTGAGGACAGACAGACGTGCTCTGCACGAGGCAGCCTGGATCATGGCTCCTCAGAGCCTTGGTTTCCTGGCCTGTAAGGGGGTGGACGGGAAGATCAGTGAGGTGACGCGTGCCGTGGGTGGAGGTACAGCCAAGAGGCTTCTGCGTTGGGTGGGGCCTCCGGGCCTTCGGGGACAGGCCAGACTCGACTCCATGCCGGCCACCTGGAGACTCGTGGAGCACTGGTGGGGGAGGGGGTGCTCTGATCGGGAGCCATCTGTGCAGGCACCACGGGGACAGCGAGCAGCGGGGCGACGGCAGAGCTACCCAGGTCACCTGCGGGTTTGCATGTTTAGCCTGGAAAGGCAGGTATGGGTGGAAGGTAGGGTCTGGTTGGGGGAGGGGGGAGGGCTGTGGCGGCCCAGGGGCCCAGCCGACATTCCAGGAATGAATGCCACAAGCAGCAGCAAGTCCCCCTGAATGAATGATGTCCAGAGCCGCCCTGCCCCTGGGAGACCCTGCCTGCTGCACCTGCTCGGGGCCTGGGTGGTGGCACCCAGGGCTCCTCCCTGGGCTTTCTCTGGTCACCCTGCATTTGCAGGGGAGCCTGGGGGACGCTGTCTGGACTGGGGTGTCCCCGGACTCAGTCCAGCTCCACCACGTCACCCAGTGTGGGGGCCTCAGGAACGGCTGAGCCCAGTGTCCCCGGCTGTGAGCAGAGGCAGCAGTCTGGGAGATATCGATCGCCCCTGACTGCCACCGTGTCGGGGGGCAGGGGGGGGCTGCACAATGGCAGCACAGAGCCCTCTTCCCAGTCCTGTGACTGTCACCTTACAGGGCAGAAGAGACCTCGCCGACGTGGTTAAGGATTTTGAGAGGTTGTCCAGGTGGGAGAAGGTGATCACTGGGCCTGCGTCGGAGTCAGAGAGGATGTGGGGACACGGGCAGAGGCTGGGGGTGCAGCAGGGGTACCTCCAGAAGCTGGAGGAGGCCAGGAGAGCCTTCTCCCCCCCCCCACCCCTGCCCCGGAGCCTGCAGATAGGAGCACAGCCTCCCGACACCTCGGTCTTGCATTTTCTGTCCTGCGAAACATGAGGGAGGGAGTTTCCGTTGCTTTAAGCCGCTCAGTGGTGGTAACTTGTTCGGGCACCACGTGAGCTCACGCAGCGCCGCTGAGGGTGGACTGGAGGGGGCCTCACCCTCTGGATGGAAGCAGCCTCCCCAGCCCCCGCGGGAAGCCCAACGCCACCCCCCCTTTCTAAAGCATGGACCCTGCTTCCTGCCGGACCCCGGACAGAGAAGCCAAGTCCAGGTCCAGGCTCCCAGAGTGCCCCGCCCCCCTCCCCGCTCTGCTACCAGCCGACCTACCCCGCACACGTCGGGACTGAGCGGCCCCTCCCTGTGTCGGGCTGAAGGGGCCGACGGGCCCACGGAGGCATCCACTAGCTGCTTCGAAGGACCCGAGACCCACGGGACGGGCGTCCACCTTGGAGGCGGGCAGGGACAGCCGTGAGGGCTGGGCAGGAAGGCAGCCGGGGGCCGGTTGGCTCCTCTCCTTCTCTTGCTGTAGAGTCGCGGCTGTGGACCGTGCCCGAGTTCTGAACCGCCTGGTTCCCGGTGTCTCCTCGGTGGAATGGGGGCAAAAGCAGCCTACGGTTGATGGGATGAAATGAGGTGCTATTTGTCAAGTGCTCACAACACGGCTTGGCTTCAGCAAAGTCCACCCCAGTGTCCCCGGACCCTTTGTCCTTAGAAAGCCCCTTTCCAGCTGCCTGGGACTGTGAGGGTGGGAGCTGGCTGTGGGATATGGATGCTCACGTGGGGTGGCAGCGGCCGGCTGTGTCTGTGGGGAACGAGGTCTGGCCTGGGGGGTGAGGGCCCCGGCGGGCGCCTGTGGCAGGTGTCAGGAGAGGGGCATTGCCTTCTCAGGCCTGCCCACGCCTCTCTAGGTGGAGGCAACAAGGCAGCCCGGGCCTCCGGGTCTAGAAAATGAAATGCCAGGGGGCGCCCGGGTGGCTCAGTCGGTTAAGCGTCCAACTTCAGCTCAGGTCATGATCTCGCGGTTCTTGGGTTCGAGCCCCGAATTCCGCTGACCGTGCAGAGCCTGCTTTGGGTCCTCTGTCCCCCTCTCTCTTTGCACCTCCCCCGCACTCGCTCACTGTCTCTCTTTCAAAATAGATAAACATTAAAGAAATAGAAAAGAAAGCAAGCCCGGCCCCTCTGTCTGCAGAGGTGGGGCTGGCACTGGCTGGGCCGGGGGGCAGATCCCGCTCTCCGGAGGGCACGACCCACTGGAAGCTCTAGGTGACTGTGGCTCTGGGAGGCAGGGAGCGGGGGGCCCAGGCTCTGGGCCGAAGGCCGCGCTGCTCACCAGCAGGACAACCATAGGCAGTTATTTCCACCGTCCCTGCCTCAGTTTCCCCATCTGTCAAGTAGGGTCGTAATGGGGGAACGAGGATTGCAGGAGTTGATACATGTGAATGACTTCGATCGGGGCCTGTGACACCGTGTGCTGTGTCCCCAGAGCCGCCCCTGCAGGAGAGGGTCCTCAGGGATGGGGGTCTCAGTTTGATTTGGGTTTGAATGCGCGCTGAGAGCAGAAAAGCCACAGTCATGGCTACGGTGGAAACTGATGTGAGGTCATACAGGGAAGGGGTGGGGAAGCCAGGTGCCTGGTGAAGGTACAGGGAAGGTGGCAAGGGTGGGGCCCGGGCATCGTAGGGAACAGAGGGCGGCCTGTGCGGGCCGCTAGGTGGACACCGTATTTCACTCGCCTCAATCTCAAGTGGGCACAGCCCTGAGCACTCAGCCAGTATCAGGAAATATGGATGCCGTGGTCTGGGCAAGCTGTGTGACTCAGGGAAGATCCTGTTTCTTCTCTGGGCCTCAGTTTCCCCATCCTTCACGCCAGGAGGTTGAACTAGAGATTCCCCAAAGCTCTTTCCAGCTCGGATGCTCTGGACTCCTCCGCCCTCCTCCCAGTGGGAGAATGGCGTCTGGAGAAGCAGGCACCTGCGAGCCGAACCCCGGCTCCGTCTGCTTCATCCTGTGCCTCAGCCCGGTCCCCACGCTCCCTCTCAACACCAGCGCCCATCCGCTCAACAGATGTGGGTCGAGGCCCTACTATGCTCCGGGCCATGTGCTTGCGACCAGGGAGAGAGGACCTTCCTTCCGTCCCATCCATCTTGTAGACGACAAGTTCAGATTACATGCCTACTGTGCACTGGGGCCCCTTGCTGGACATGGGGGTGCAGAGGTGAACGGGACAGACAGCCCTAACCTTCCAAACTTGAGGGTCTGGCAGAGACACAACCTTTTATGCTGTGTGTTGTGGGAGGAACAGAAAGGGGGCTAACGTCAGCCTCCAGCGGGGAGAGGATTCATCCTCCCTCGAGGCTGGTCTGGGAGACGATCTCGGCCTTATTCGCAGGGCCTCCGGCCTCTCCTGTTAGAGTAAGAGATAGACTTCGCAGGAAGACGTGAATACTATTAGGGGTCCATTTAACAACAATTACCGGCCAAGCAGCACTTTATAGCTTAAGAGACCACTTTGCAATTTTTCTTACAAAATAAATTCCCTTTTATTTTTGCCTCACCAGCAGTCAAACCAGAGCTCCCTGCCTTGCTGCCCACGGGTAGGACCTTCTACTATTGGCGTGGCCATGACCTCAGGCTCTGGGGGCCCTGACAATCCACAGACACCTGCTGTGGGCCTTCCCCGCTGTCTGCAATCCCCGCCTTAGCTCTGGAGCGCTGTGGACTTCTAACTTGGCCACAGAACGCCACAGCCGTGGGCGAGGGGATGAAGGCACGGCAGCTGGCTGGGGCACAGGACTGCATTCAGGAGTCGTGGCTGATGTTAAAAGTTCACGTGAATGTCCATTTTACTCCATGCCACACCAGTGTTGGTTTGATTACTAAAATGACACACGTGCCCATTTTCCACGCAAAGCCTTTGTCGGCCCGATGACCCAGGACAACTCCCCCAGGTTAAGCGCCAGGACCTCCGACCCAGCCACCACCACGTGCCGCCGTCCCCACCTGGCACACCGCTTCTAATTTGAAAAGTGCGTATCGGCATCCATCAAAACACCCGTGTGTCTGTTCTGCTCACTCACCGGAGCTGTTTCCAGGAGTG